GATATAGATCGTTATAAAATTCGGAAAAATATAATCTGTACCAAGTTCCAGCTTTCTATACTCAAAAACACGAAAGTTGGGTCATTTCCGATCGTTCAGTTATATGGCAGCTATAGAATATAGCTGGGCGATCCTTATGAAATTTAGCATGTCATATTATTTTGCTCTCCAAAAATAGACAAAAATAGCTCTCATGTAAAATTTGAACTATCTAACTCAAAAAACACCGAAGTTATACCATTTCCGATCAATCAGTTATATGACAGCTATACGATATAGTCAGCCGTTCCCAGCCGTTCCGACTTATATACTGCGTGCAAAGGAAAGAAGGTGTCGATAGCTTTAAAACTGAGAGACTAGTTCGCGAAGAAACAGACAGACAGACGGACAGACGGATATGCTTATATCAACTCAGGAGGTGATCCTGATCAAGAATATATATACTTTATAGGGTCGGAGAAGTCTCCTTCACGGCGTTGCACACATTTGACCAAAATTTTAATACTCTCTACAAGGGTATAAAAAGGCTTCCCATGTAACGTTTACTTTTTATAGACAAACGTGCCCTCCGCTTTCACTAAACGGTATGCATATCCCTCAAGCTAACAAAGTAACGTACCTTGGCGCCCACCTCCGTAGTCAACTAAAATGGCGAATGAAACTAAAACTAAAAGCTAGCAGCCTCCACTGGATCATAAACTCTCCTTCGCCAATGTGCCTGGTCTACAAGGTACTGCTTTACAAATCAGTTAAAAATAACTTAACAAATAATATAACAAGTAGCTTAATCTGGACGTATGGCTTCCGTCTTTTGGGTAACAGCAACATAGACATCATACAGCGCGCACAATCAAAAATTTTGAGATCCGGAACCAAAAAATTGTCCTACAAAAAAAAACTCTTCGCAACCCCAATTTTTTCGCTTGGGGATTGACTCTAGCGCACCCCGCCGTCAAACTCTGTATCAGACAATATGACTATTAGTTAAGTTAAAAAAAACATGATTTCATGAACTTTCAAAAATGGTGTTTAAAAACTCTAATCGAACTAGTCCTCACCTGGCTATGTAATTTCTCTGTATGTGCGCATTAGAAAGATTAACCGAGCTGAACGATTTGGAGGTCCTTTTAGATTTGAAACTTAAATTTTCCGACCATATTCTTAAAGCAAAGGGTGTTGTTACCGCCGTCATAGAATTAAGTTTATATTTGAAAAATGAAATCGTTAAAATTAGTGTTGAATAATGTTTAAATAAGTTTTGAAAAACGCTAGACGCAAGCTTATCGATATACGGAAAAATGGCGAAAGAACGAGGCGTTTTGCGATCGCTAGGTGAAGCTAACGAGGCGAGGGAAAACGACGAAGTTTTTTAGCTCTCGCGCGACATGATTTGAGTTTAAATAAAGGAAAGAACAACCAAATCCATGTTTGCTTAAAAAATCGTGCACCAACCTCGCCGATCCCAACATTTCTAAAAAACTTCCTGCAAAACTTCGTTACCTGCGGATTAAGGCAGAAAAAAGCGTCGCGTCGCTAGCAGACAACAGCTAGACCGACTGGAGGCGACAAATTTAGGAAGGAACGAAAGTGAAGGCGTCGCGTCCCTAGCAGCCAAGGCTATGTTGAGTTGAGCACGCCATTCTTGGGGAAAACCGGAACTCTTGCGGATAAAGGCAGAGGTAAGGCGTCGCGTCCCTAGCAGCCACAGGCTAGGTCAAGTAAGCACGCAGCCAAGAAGAAGAAAAACAGACGCCATATTGCAAGCACGCCGGACGACGCGAAGCATGAACGTTGAAGTGTGTATCATTTCGAGTGTGCCGGAGTAGGGGACGACATTGAGAGCAAGGATTGGAGCTGCCATTACTGTCTTGCGGGTTGCAGCCACATAGCAGCGTTCAGCGGTATGCAAAGATCACCAGTACAGCCTCAAACACGTGAAGACGCAATGGATACCCCAGAACCGCACGGCAAAGCGCTAGCCGTCGATACGCTAATCGATACTGCCGGCAACGGAGAGAACATGAATGTTCGGGAAGGCAATCTGGACATGAACAAGAACCAACTCTTGTTAGATATGCTCGAGGAGAAAAGACAGTCTGAGGCAAAGTTCATAGAAGAAAAGTACAAAATTCTCATGCAGATGAACCCCGCTGACGTAGCGGTAGCTGATATGTTTGTACCTTCCAACATTCAGCGGGGATCCTGAGGACTGGCCGTTATTTATCAGCACATTTGAACACCGTACAACAGCAGCGGGATATACGAATGTGGAAAACATGCTACGTCTGCAAAAGTCGCTTACAGGGAAAGCTCGTGACTTGGTTTGAGATAAACTCCTACTTCCTAACCTAGTCCCAGAAGTCATCAGCACTTTGAAGATGTTCTTCGGCAGACCAGAGCACATCCTAGAAAGAATGGTGGAAAACGTGCGAAGACTGGCACCATCCAAAGACAGATTGGAGGCGTTAATAGAGTACGCGCTGGCAGTGCGAAACGTCTGTGCTACTATGGAGGCGTACGATCTAAAGGCGCATCTCAACAATCCAATGCGGGTCAAGGAGCTGGTAGATAAGTTTCCCAACCAACACAAGCTAAACTGGGCAATGCAACCCCGCGACAATAGAGTGGCCGCAGTCAAGGCATTCAGTGATTGGCGCCATCGTTTTACAAATCGGGCCCAGTTAATTCCCACAGCAGTAGCCGCCCGGACAAGGGAGAAGCAGATGAACCTGGACCAGCACGAGGACAAACACGATCGAACGCGATCCATACTGAAGCAGCTCAGCAGCAAGTTCAACAGAGGTGCGTAGCTTGCGGCGACCCGAGTCACAACCCAGCGCAATGTCAGGTATTCTCGAACCTTGACGCGGAGCACAGGTGGCAGGTAATCAGAGCGGGTAAAGCCTGTTTCTGCTGCCTCAAGGTACACTGGAACAGATGCCGAACGGGGAACTGTGGAATTAATGGCTGTACAAGGAAACACCGTAAGTTACTTCATACAGAATATGTTCCTAACACAATCGGCCAAGACAGACCACAGAGTCACGTGAGTACGCATCGAAACGACAACCACGGAAGTCAGTTCTTTCGCATCATTCCAGTCAAGATGCATTACGGCAGCAGGCAGACCGAGATCTACGCCTTTTTAAATGAAGGATCATCCGTGGCCCTAGCAGATGCATCCGTATTCCAAAGATTGGGAATACAAGGCCAGGCAGCGCCAATGTGTTTGCAGTAGACCGCAGAGACGACTCGACTCGAGAGTGAATCCGTGAAAGCATCCGTCCAAATCTCGGAAATGAACTGCGATAAGGTTTACTGGTTGAACAACGTCCAGACCGTTCAGAACCTAGCATTACCGAGACAGACAGTCAACATGAAGGAGCTATGCGATAGATTCCAGCATTTGAAGACTTGCCGCTACGGTCCTACTCTGCCCAGCCAACTTTGCTAATCGGAACCAATAACTGGAAGCTAGCAGTCCCTCGCAAGATCGGCGAAGGAAAATGGCACGAGCCGATAGCATCGAAGTGCATGCTAGGATGGAGCATCCAAGGATCGGCGAACCCACAACGATCCATTTTCATGCACCACTGCGACTGCGACTGGCAAGAACTCCATGATGACATCGAGGAACATTTCAACCTTGATGCACTCCTTGATGTACCACGAAAGCTGCACTCAGCTGAAGATGAGCTGGCAGTGAAGATATTGGAAAGCACCTGCCAAAAGAAGTCCGGAAAATATGAAGTTGGACTTCCGTGGCGCGGTGGTATCGACAAACTCCCTGAGAGCCGGAGCAACGCTCTGAAGCGGCTTACCTGCATGAGGAAAAAGGTGTCTCAAGAACCAGATCTTTATGAAAAGATCAACACCCAAATCAGGAACCTCCTAGACAAAGGATACGCGGTTAAGCTATCCGAGGAAGAAACCAGCCGGGAGAACAGCCGTACATGGTATCGGCCAATATTCATAGCGCTGAATCCAAACAAGCCGAAAAAGATAAGGCTCGTATGGGATGCAACCGCAAAGGCACACGGATACGCGCTAAATGACTACTTACTCAGGGGACCAGATTGCCTGAACCCACTCATAGACGTCTTGCTAGCCTTTCGGGTCAACAAAATAGCGATTTGTGGTGACATTGCGGAAATATTTCACAGGATCAACATTCGCGAGGATATGCAGGCACAGCGATTTCTGTGGTATGACAAGGCAGCGACAAAGTAGACACCTATGTCATGCGAGCTATGACTTTTGGGATTAGCTGCGCGCCGTTTATAGCGCACTTCGTTCGAGATAAGAACGCGGAAACCCACCAAGAAGAGTTCCCATTAGCCTTAAACGCCATCCAAAGGGCGCACTACGTTGACGACTTCATCGATAGCATGAGGAACGAACAGGAGGCCATCCAGATCACCAGACAAGTCATATAAGTCCATCGCAGAGGCGGATTCGAGATCCGTAACTGGTCGTCGAATTCGGAAGAAGTACTCAAAAGCTTGCAGGATAATGGCAACGCTGGAACCCAAAAGCCCGTAGATTTTTGTGCAACAGAAAAGATACTTGGCATGTTCTGGGACCCACATAATGATATGTTTAAATTTATCTGCAGATTTTCAAGGCTGAAGCGTGATGTGCTGGCGGAAAACGTAGTTCCTACCAAGCGAGAAATATTACAAGTTTTGATGTCGATCTTCGATCCATTGGGATTTTTATCATGCCAAACGATTGGACTAAAGATACTCCTCCAGTGTATATGGCGGCAAAAAATTGAGTGGGATCAGGAGCTACCTGAGAGGATTCTAGAAGAATGGCGTCAATGGAAAACCATTTTGCAAGACATAAGGACTTTCGAGGTCCCTAGATGCTTTTCCCCAGCCACATCGGAGCCATGTCAAATTGCACTCCATACATTCGTCGACGCCAGCGAGCAAGCATATTCTGCAGTCTGCTACTTGCGCGTGGCAACGGATGACAGAGTCGTCGTATCCTTGGTAATGGCGAAAACTAAGGTGGCACCTTTAAAACCACTTTCGATTCCGAGTATGGAGCTGCAGGCAGCAGTTATGGGAGCACGCTTAGCCCAAAAGGTGACGAGCACACGCAATCTACGAATTGACAACGCCACATACTGGTCGGACTCCAAGACAGTGTTGCAGTGGCTAACTATGGAGCCCCGCATCTTTCATCAGTTCGTGATGCACAGAGTCGCCGAAATTCTGGAAACAACACTGGTCGAGCAATGCCGGTGGATTCCTTCAAAGCTGAACGTAGCAGATGAAGCTACCAAGGTCACCGGGCAAACCCAACAAGAGACGTGGATAACGGGCCCGCAGTTCCTGAAGAACGATGCGAGCAACTGGCCAATATCCAAGAAGCAGGAGAGCATCATCGATACCTCGGAGATCCGGAAGCATGTGATGACGACGCATACGAAATCAGTGGTTATGTTCAACGCGAACGATTTCTCAAATTGGCGGCGGTTATACAGAGCTGTGGCGCTAGTACTCCTGTTTACTGATCGGCTGCAAGCGAAATGTGCCGGACGAGACATGCCAGCAACCACGACAAAGGCTCATGTGAGCAAGGCAAAGATGCTGCTATACAAGCAATCTCAATCCATCGCCTTCGCAGCAGAACTAAAAACGTTATCCGCGGGAACGGCGCTCCCCAAGGGAAGCAGATTAGCCGGATTGAACGCATACCTGGACATCGATAGAGTACTACGAACAAGAGGCAGATTGAACGCAGTTGACATAGCTGAGGACGCCATCACACTAGCTCATGGATGCCGGATAACCAACCTCATAGTTAGGAGCTTCCACGAAAAGTATCACCACCTCGCTCATGAGACTATAATAAACGACATTAAAAATTCATCTTATATCAGCCGGCTACGAGTACTGCACAAATCTGTGCGAAACACATGCCAACGATGCAAGATCGACAGAGCAGTTCCCAGACCACCACAGATGACACCGATCCCGAGGGCAAGAGTTGGAAGCTTCGAGAGGCCGTTCACCTATACAGGCGTTGACTATTTTGGCCCGTTATTGGTGAACGTCGGCCGGCGCAAAGAGAAGAGATGGGTAGCTCTGTTCACCTGTCTTACGTTGCGAGCGGTGCATTTTGAGATCGCCTACAGTCTAGATACCAGTTCATGTATCATGTGCCTAGCCAATTTTATGGCCCTTCGAGAGACACCGAAGGAAATATTCTCAGACAACGGTACAAATTTCAGAGCCACGGAAAAAGCTGTGCGCGAGGAGCTGAAAACAAGTTACTTTACAAGTTACAAGTCATTGAAAAGTTACTCTTTCAATGACGAGGGGTTGAGAAACGCACTGATGGAGACGCAATTTATCATCAACTCGCGACCTCTCACGTTCGTAAGTTTGGATTCCGAGGATGACGCTGCCCTGACTCCAAACCACCTGCTGCTAGGATCAGCGAACGGATACAAGCCGTTGCCAAAAGAGGGAATGAATCTGAAGCGTAGATGGAACGAGAATCAGCGCTTCGGAGACCGCTTTTGGCAACGATGGGTTAAGGAGTATGCACCCGTGTTAACCAGGCGCACCAAATGGTTTGAGAAGGTGCCTCCAATCACCATCGGGAGCATCGTCGTAGTCGTGGATGAGCTTCTTCCCAGGAACCTGTGGCTAAAAGGACGCGTGACTGACGCAATAATGGCCAACGATGGACAAGTTCGGCGGGTGACCATCAAGACGCAGCATGGTGCTATAGAAAGACCAGCAACAAAGGTGGCAGTTCTGGACGTCGGCTTGGAGAATGGTAACTGACCGCGGATCGGGATCAATTACGGGGGAGGCAATGTTACCGCCGTCATAGAATTAAGTTTATATTTGAAAAATGAAATCGTTAAAATTAGTGTTGAATAATGTTAGAATAAGTTTTGAAAAACGCTAGACGTAAGCTTATCGATATACGGAAAAATGGCGGAAGAACGAGGCGTTTTGCGATCGCTAGGTGAAGAAACTTCGGTGGCCTACCTTCAGAGACTTGTTTACGGCCATTTACATCCAAAACTCGCGGCTCACCCCGGTAAAGAAGTTGTTCCACTTATTGTCCAAAACAAGTGGTGACGCCCACGCCATTGTTTCTAAGGCTCCGCTTACCCATGAGGGGTTTGTCGCCGCATGGCAAAGCCTCACAGACCGCTTTGAGAACAGGCGGCTATTGGTCAACAGCCAGTTGAAGATCCTTTTCAACATCCAGGCTATTTCTCAAGAGTCCGGGGTCGCGCTGAAGGAGCTGCATGCTGCCATACAGAGTTGTTTGACAGCCCTTGAAATGTCCTCCGCTAATGTTGAGGCTTGGGACTGTCTCCTTGTATTTATGATTTCGTCAAAGCTCCCCAAGGTCACACTTTCTATGTGGGAGCAATCCGTACATAATAAGGCCGAGATTCCAACATGGAAGGAATTAGATAACTTCCTGACAGAGCGCCATCGCACTCTGGAGGCCATCGACGACGTCAGGCAATTTCCGCCAAGGTCGGGACTTCCTACTGCCCCTGCTCGGAGGCTCACTTCATACGAGACTCGAGTGGTTCCGGGCCAAAAGGGCTGCGATCTCTGTTCGAGGGAGGACCACTCCATTCGCTTATGTCCGCGTTTCCTAGAAATGGATGTAAATGGGCGCTCTGACTACATAAGGAGGAAGCAGTTATGTTTAAACTGTTTTGCCCGAGGGCACCACGACTGCACGAGACTGCACGGGCGCCTATACCTGCTTCACATGCCACAGCAGACACCACACCCTCTTGCACCGCGGCAATCCATTCGCAACCGCTCCAAGTCCGCCTACGCAGGTTACCGCTCCAAGTCCGCCTACGTCAACAAACGGCTCAGAGGATCAGTCGAATGTGCAGGTGTGTTTCGCTTCCGGGTCAGGAGCCGTCCTACTGGGCACGGCCCTTATCAACGTGTGCCATTTGGGGTGCACCGTCCAGGCACGAGCACTGATAGACTCAGGCTCCGAAGCGACTTTCATAACGGAACGACTGTTCAACCTCGTCAAGCCTCCCTTCAAGACGATTCAAGCCCAAGTTTCCGGCCTGAATCAGACCATTTCCGCGCAGTCTACTAAATTGTGCCATTTTTCCATTCGGTCGCCGTCTAGACCCGGGCTACAATTAGAGACTGCTGCTTACGTTCTTCCGCAGTTGGCAGGAAATCTGCCATCATATCCGTTTTCGCGAGATCTTCTCAAGGGGCTGCCCGACATTCCCCTGGCGGACCCCAACTTCTTTGAGAGCTCCCAAATCGATGTGTTATTAGGAGCTGACATTCTTCCGTCCATTCTCCTCTGTAATTCCAAGGCTAACTAGCTGATGATCCGACTGATCCGGGCCAAATTCTGGATTCCAAGGTCATATTCAGCACGCCACGCCCACGCAACGCCCAGTCACTGGAGAGCAGATGTACTCGAGGTACACTATCCTACCGATGCCGAGTCTGCAATGGGAGCCATCCATTGAAGAAGTGTCGGCGCTTCCTACGCCTTAGAGCGGCTCCGAGCGGTTCTCGTGAACCACTATTGCTCGAGCTGCCTGGCCACGAGCCCTCCGACGGATCCTGTCGGCGTGGGGACGGCTGTAAGACGTGTGGTCAGGATCACCACACTGCACACTGGTCAGGATGCTGCACCCCGTGAACAAGGAGCACCGGTCACCGCCCGCGGGAGACAGTATACGGGGTGTCTCGCTCTCTTGTCGGCCCTCATCCCCCAACTCCCGACGCGGTTCGGGTGCCTCTCGCCCTGCGTCCGCCATTTTCCGGCATTGCCAAACCGATCCACGGCCGCCGACTTCCCGGCACTCTTCGATAACTCCTCGGCATTCTTCCGCCACTGGCCGGCAGCCGTCAAGTCCTCCACTGCATTCGTCCGCCACCCATCGGGGGCCGTCCACCGCTCGTCCGCCCCCGTCATCCGCGCCTAGGCAATTTTCCGCCTCTCCTCGAGGGCCCTCGCAGGACGCGGTCGCTGCGCCCACCCTATCGTCGCTGCTGAACCGGAACAGCGACAACACGACGCGGGGGCCTTCATCGACCCGTGTACGCCCTCTAGCTGCAGTGACGCATAGTGTCATAGGATAACTCCAGGGGATTTGTTTTAGTTGGATTTTTATTTAGGAGGAGCAGCTGAGGTGCCGCTCCAACGATCAAAGTGTCTTTGTTCTTTTACAATATTTCTTAAGTCTAACTCGATTTTTCCGTTTTTATATACGGACCTGTATATTTAGGATCTAACTTATGACCTGTCTCGTTTTTTAATAAAACTTTTTCACCTACTGATATATCTATATCCCTTACTTTATGATCGTATAGTAGTTTATTTCTATTCTTATTTGCTTCTAACATAACTCTAGCTCTTTTATAGGCTACTTCTAATCTATACTTACTCTCCTTAGCATAGTCATCTATATTATATAGTGCTTCTACACTATCTATGCTATTAAAATGTTTTGGCAAATTACTTGTTTTACCGAATACTAGCTCATATGGACAATAAGTATGTGCCATAGAGGGGGTCGTGTTGAAACAGAAGACAAAATATTGAAGCCATACGTCCCAATCAGTTTTATCAACCGATATGTAAGATCGTATGTATTCATTGAAAGTTCTATGACTTCTTTCTATTGTTCCAACTGTCTGGTGGTGGTGTGCTGTGGTTGTAATATTTTCAATATTTAAATATTTGCACAAATCGTCTATAATTGAATTCTTATATTCTGTTCCCATGTCCGTAATGAACGTCTTCATTGGTCCGTACTTCAGGATAAAAGATTCAAATATTGCTTTAGCGACAGTATTGGCGTTTTTATTCGGAACAGGAATGGCAACTAAATTCTTAGTTAAATCACATATTAAAGTGACTGCATACTCATTGCCATTTTCTGATTTTGGCAGTGGACCAATAGTGTCCACTATCACTCTGTCGAAAGCATTTATTGGTGTGTCTGTAATTGTTAAAGGGGTCTTTGTGTGTTTAGTTATTTTTGATTTCTGGCATTTTTGACATTTTCTTACGTACTCAGTTATATCTTTAGACATGCTTTTCCAGTAATAGTGTCTTTTTACTTTGGCCAAAGTTTTTGATATGCCAGTAAGACCTCCTTGAATTGGATCATCATGAAATGTAGATAAAATTGCTTCTTTTTCTTTTAAATTTGTTATTTGGGTCACCGGGTTGAGTAGCGCTACTCTTAATGTTTTCAATATTTTATTGCCCATTAGTTTAAATTTATCTATTGAAGTATATTCAAAGATATTTTCCCACGGTGCCACTTTGAGTTGGCTGATTTTATGTATACCGGCTTGCATTTCAAGCCTTTGGAAAAATTGATCTAAATCAATAACTCCATTAGTATATAAATCGCTAACATCATATCTTGCAGTAATTTTTCTGCCTTGTTTAAATAAACATAACATATTTTTTATCTGAAAGGTCACTACTTTACGTACTTCATCATTGTTTATGACGTCGTATACGTTGGGCTTAGAAGCTTTATTTAAAGATTGCCTTGGCAATTCTTGTTCTTGATTTTCCGCGCGAAATTTTTGTCTACTTTGATATCTAGTAGTGACTTTTAATACATTTCTAGTTATATTTTGTAGATCTTTGATGGTTATTCTTGATAACGCATCAGCTACATGATTATCTTTTCCCTTTAAATATTCGACTGTAAAGTCGTATTCTTCTAGTTCGAGCCTCATACGTGTCAGTTTAGAACTGGGGTTGGTCATTGAGAAAATGTATATTAGAGGTCTATGGTCTGTTCTTATTACGAAATGTGTTCCATATATATATGGTCTAAAATATAATATCGCCAGTGAATTGCAGCTAATTCCTGCTCAGTACATTTGTTACTTTCACCTTTTGTAAATGCTCTTGATGCGTATGCAATGGGAAGTTGGAGACCATTATGATTTTGAGTTAAAACCGCTCTACATGCTTGCTTACTTGCATCTGTTATCATGCAGAATTCTTTAGTGAAATCTGGGTATTGTAGCAAGGTAGGTTCCATAAGTTTTGTTTTTAAGTATTGGAATGCATTTTCACACTCATCCGTCCATTTAAAAGGAACATTCTTTTTACATAATCTTGTTATGTGCCGTGAATAGTCGGCGAAATTTTTTATAAAACGTCTATAATAGTTACAGAATGCTACAAAACGTCTAGCACTGTCCGCGTCGTGCGGAACTGGGTAGTTCATAATGACATCGTATTTCTTGTCATCTGGAAGTATTCCTTTATCAGTGCATTTATGACCTAGAAAGGTCACTTCATGCATAAAAAATGAACATTTTTCTGGATGTAGCTTTAGGTTGAATTTCCTACATTTCTCAAAAACATCTGTTAAGTTTTTAAGCATATGTTTTTTGGAACAACCGATTACTATTAAGTCATTCATATAAAGAAACGCTTGAGAAGGTTCTAGACCAGAGAACGCAATAGTCATCATTCTCTGAAACGAATTAGGAGCTATTTTTAATCCGAAGGGTAATCGCGTGAAGCGATATGAGCCGTTGCTCGTTGAAAAAGACGTTATATCTCTTGAACCTTTTTCTAGTTCAATTTGATGGAATCCTGACATTAAGTCAAGACATGAAAAGTATTTTGCTCGACCTAGTTGATCTAAAATATCATCAATTCTAGGTAATGGGAATTTATCAGATAGTAATTTTTTATTAATCTGGTGATAGTCAATTACTTATCGCCATTTCTTTGCATTTGATCCGGGGGATGATTTCTTAGGAACAAGTAACAATGGGCT